TGAGCAGCTCTTAAAGGCAAAGCTACTGCCGTTGGTTAGCAGGTCGGCCACCCTAACTTGGATCGGACATGAGCGGCCAACCCTCTCTGCACCTGCTGGTGGAAGACAGTCCCCCAGTTTTGCAACCCACCTAATCTGGCTGGTCGGTGCTTTGCTTTCCTACCGCAGCAGAACCCAAGGTGGAATATTGTGTTTAGCAACAACTCAGCTTTTGGTTTTTTTAAAAAATATATATAAATTTTAAAAAATCCCTATTTACAGTGGCGAGTGGTAGAGAAAAAAAACATGCGTACAATAGCTGGTGAACCTCAGAAGTAGAAAAGGAGGAAGGAGAAGGTTCAATACTTCACAGAACTCCTTGATCCTACAGTTTAAACGTCTTATCCAGCTCATTGTCCCTACAACCGGAGCACCTTGCGTGGGTCTTTGTCTTTCCTAGGCTTCGAGCATCTCCGATTATCTCCCTTGCCTTCCTTATGGCTTAACCAGCCTGCAAAGCTTTCTGCCTTCCCTTCAGCTCCAGCATCTGGCATCTCCCCTCCCTGGGACTTCAACCCCTCTCCAGGCTCTTTGCCCTTCCTGTGGGCGAAGGATGGCAAACAAGCACAGGTGGACCTCAGCTGCCAGGCCTACGTGGGACGGCATAATTAAGCCAGGATACGGGGATAGGGAGAGAGATGCAAGGAAGAAAATGCACTGCTCTAGGCCATCGACTAACTGAGGAAGTGGGCTGCGGTCCACGAATGCCTTTGACCCCAAGCATTCGACCACGGAGGGTGGGAATCGTGCAGTCCACGGTCCCGTTCCAAATGACTCCCACCCATTCAAAAATGATAATTTCTGCTCTTCCAGAAGTGGGAATTCTCCTTTTTTAAAAAATGCAAAAATCCCCCTGTGCCTTGTTATGTCTCTACCCATCACAAGGGGTTTTTCAAAACAAGGAGTGGACTTCCAACCTTTTTCATTTTGCTTTCGGGCCTCTCCCCACCCAGTTTTCCAGCATTTTCTGAGAAAGGCTTGCCACCCTTGGCCTGTGAGCTCCCACAAGATCCTTTACTGCCTTTGTCATGACCGAGTAATACAGTTACCCCCTCTGGGACAACACTGAGAAATCTTGAGTTAACAGCAAAGGGAGGGGACCCCCTCTCTCTCATTCCTTCTCATGGCAAACCCTCTGGCGCTCATCCGGTTCACATGCAAGCATGGGATGTGTCCTCTGGCATGGGGTACGACCTGGATGATCCTGCGTACTGGGCAGGCTTCTGTGTACACAGAGGTGACAATAGATAACCAGGGTTTGTGGGGGGGGAGGTAAGGGGAAAGAAGGAAGGGCGTTCGCTGCCCAGCACTTACCCAACTGCCTTTCTCTCCTCGTTCGCCTTTGGGGCCCGGCTCACCCTGAAACAGAAATAGAACGAGAGACGGCATGAGAAAAGGAAGGAAGGAATGGGTGGTGCTGTGTGTTGCAAC